GAAGACCGTGGCTCTCAAGCTCTAAGACTTTGTTGGAAATTCTCAGTTCTTGCTCTTCAAGATTTTTCCAGAAGATGAAATATTTCTTCTAAAGATCTGCAGGTTCTCTGGAGTGTCGCTTCAACATTGTGGATATTTTAACCTTAGTTTTCACATGCCCCAGCTTCTGCTAATAGTGTTTTTCTCCAGCATTTGGCATGACTCTGTCTTTCCTTGCCAAGCAGATTGTGGCCTCCTCAGTGGCTTGGAGCTGTGTCTTGTTCTTAACATGCATGTCACACATGCCCTAGTGAGTGGTCAGGAAAGACTGTGGTGTTAATTGCATTCTGCCTTAGCCAGATGGGAGTAGAACTCTGGTATTGCTTCTCTTTCACAAGACCACACACTCAAAAAAAGCAGACTACTAGGAGGCTCTAACAGATACTTAGTCACTTCTCTATTCCAGTACATTCCCCAGCATCCAAGAAAAACAGCATGTTAACTGTGCCTGTTAAGTGTCAGTAGATATTTTAGATAACTGAAGGGGAAAAATACATCAAAACATAGCAGTATACTCCTTCCACCCGTCCTGTTCTCTGCTTTCAGGAATTCTTCATCATTGTCTCGGATGGTCTGCAGGGAACTTGTCCAGAGTTCTAGCAACAGCCCTTGGAGACCAGCCTGCAGTGTCCCCTGCAGAGTGAGGTTTCTATGAGAAGGACATTACTTCTGGTAATTTCAGAAAAATTAAAAGGCTGTTTGACTGTAGACAAGTGTCTTCAATTCACATCTGTACCGTCTGTGTTCCAGAAGGAAATGGCTTCACTCATCAGCTGCCTTTTTGCAATTGCCATTTGTTTCCAAGTAAGGGAAGATTAGCAAAAATGTTTATTTTTTAGCTTATTCAAATATTTATATTTTCTCTAGTTTTTTTTTCTGAAGTGTTTTGGCTCATTCTTTTTTCAGATAAACAACTGCTGTTCAAATTTTTTTGTTTCAGTAAATTATAAATTTAGCTTTTGAACGGATTTGTTTCTTTAATGGTTGGCTAATAAGACTCCTTTTAGATTGATTCATGCCAAAATAGAGGAAGCTGGACTCCAGTCGCTCACAGTTTCTTCTCTGATCCCAGAAATTGTGATTTTAAAATTTATCTTCTGAAGACTGCGCATGCCTCTCCTTTTTTGACTGTGTCTAAGAAGGAGAGCCAGCAAAGGGCAGGCTTCCCAGCTTTCATACTTGATATTCCTCCAAACTGCTGACCATGGCCTAAGGGGTTGCCTTCTCAAGTTTTTTCCTCAACCCTGGTTACTTCTCCTGTGCCCTCCCTAGCCAGCTCCACTCACAAGGTCACCTTCCTCCCTCCTCCCCTCCTCTTCCTCCTGGCACACTGAGATGCCTGGTGCCAGTCTTGTCTCCACCCTCATCGCTGCACTCAGGACCTTGGACCCCTTTGCTGGACTCTGCTTGCTTAGGGGTTCGGGTCCCTGGTTAGCCGTTTCTCTGCTTGCCATAGCTGAGACTAGCATAAAGGAGACAGAACTAGTTTGGGGAAACAGAAATTCATCTTTGAATCTGTTAGGTTTGAGGACTGCAGGATTATGAGGTGGATGTGTCTTGGGGGTAATCCAACATGCAGGAGAGTGAAATTAGATGAGAGCAAGAGAGGTAAACTGGTGATTACGAGATCCCATCCGTGGAGAAATGAGCCCGACTCTAGTGAACTGGGAGAGAGGATTTATCGTTGGAGAGAAGAATGGACCTCTCCCTGGGACTGGAGTGCAAAGGATGACGTGCTAGCATCCTCTGGGGCTGAAAAAAAGGTAAAGAGGAGGTTCCTTTGTACTGGCCAGAGGGGACAAGAACACTGGGAGTGAGGAAGCAGGAGGGCAGCAGGTGGAGAAGCCATGTGGGCCTGTGAGGCTGGAGTGAGAATCGTAGACAGAAGGGGTCAGTGGGGAGGGGATGGCTGAGCAGAATGCAGGGCCTTCCCGGAGGCCAGGCATCCTCGCATCAGGGCGCCTCCTGTTAGGGAAGCGGTTAGGGAGGCGACTTCCTCAATACGGCCGAGCAGCAGGAGAGCAGGGGCGGTCAGGATGCTAGGGGCTACCCTCTAGAGGTGTGGCGTCAGGGGGCCAGCTGAAGGGGCCAGGATGATTATGTCAGACTGCAGGGAACATGAAACCAGGTGGCCATGACCGGACTGGAGGAACCGGAAGTGGCTTAGTGACTGCCGCATCCCCGCTGTGAACCCAGCCCTGGCTCATACATGTGCCTCCGAAATGTTGGCTGGCTGGCATTAGTGAAGGCAGAGAACGGGTTTTGCAGGCACCAGTGGCGTGATCAGAGACAGCGATGGGGTCTTTGACAGAATGGCCATTTTGCGTTTGCTTCGGTTAGGGAGCAGTTCTCTAGAATGTAGGAATATTGAATACTTGATATTGAAGGCAGCAGGAGGGTGGCAGGAGACAGAGTGAGCCACGGACTGAAGCCTCTGTGAAGTCCTGTATGTCATTGGTGTTGGAGGCATGAGAAGTAGCCGTATGAGTAGAAGCTGTGAGCTTCAGAGTCGAGGGGTTTTGCGGGATGTCTGGAAAGGACCCCGTGATCCTAAAGAATGCTGAGCCGCGCCATCAGGCCCCGGGGGCCTGGTGTTGTAGGAACTGAAGGGGAAGTAGGCAGGGGGAGGGATGACTTCTGAGGAAAGCCAGGCTGGGGGAGAGGGTGGGGAGACACTTGTGAAGAGGCTGGGAGTGTGAGAGGCTGTTCTGTTCAGAGGGGTGAGATTTCCAAAATGAGGGGCCAGACAGAAGGGCTGTCGTAGTGTTCTTGACCGCCCAGAAGGGTTTGTGTGAGAATCTCGGTGCCTGCAACAGCTTGGCCATAAGGTGGCTGCTCTGGAATGATGCCGATGCCGTGGCTGTCTGCCTTGGTCAGAAGAGACCTGGGTCTGGCTAATAGGTGTATTGCATCAGTTGTCCTTTGTTCCTCATAACATGTATTATCCTAATTTCGGAAAAACTGAAACTTGGAACATTTACTAATTTACCAAGGGTCACATGCCTTATGATTTCAAATCCAGTTTTTGCTGACTGTGCTTGTTTCTCGTGTGCGCCTGCCCTTCGTGTGTTCTTGTTGAAGAGAGTGTGGGGTAGGGCTATGGGCCTGCATTCTCAAATGTTACATTGCCACTTGTTAAGTGTTCTGTTGCCTGCTTATTCCCAGCCCAGATTTGTGTGGCTGTGGTTCTCTAGCACCTCCTGGTGGCAGTAGTGGTTTTGTGACACGCTAAGGTGAGCATGAATACCTTCTAGCCAAGGCACCACTGTTACTGATGTGCTGCCCCAAGAACATGTCCTTTTTTGTGGACGTGGTATTCAGCAAATACGGCCTTTAGCAGTTGCTTATATGCCTATCCTAGCTGCAAAGGAAGAGTTTAATACGTGTGCATCCTTACATTGTTTAGCCCAGCCGCTTTTAAACAGGTGTGAAAGGAGAAACTCAAAGGGGACTCAGACCCTGGGTTGAGCCCTCCTTCCTATCCATGGATAACAGCACCTTCTGCCTTAGCCAGTGACCAGGGACCACTCCTTCCCCTATAGCCTGGGATGATACTCTTTCCCTTCATTATGTATCAGTTAAAAAGCTTTTTCATTAGCATATATACCCATATTTGAATATCTCATTAAAAGATGAGGCTAGAAAAGCTTTGGAACACCCCCCGTCTCCACCCCACTACCTGCCTCCCATTCTTCCTAGTTATGTTTTTTTGTTTTTGTTTTTGTTTTTGAGTTGAGTTGGAGTCTCATTCTGCTACCCAGGCTGGAATGCAGTAACACGCTCATGACCACCCCAGACTCAATGTGTGGGCTCAGGTGATCCTTCTGCTTCAGTCTTCCAAGTAACTGGAACTACAGGCACACGCCACCACACTCTGCTTATTTTTTTATTTATTGTAGAGACAAAGTCTCACCAAATTGCCCAGACTGGTCTTGAATCCCTGGACTCAGGCAATCATCTCGCCTTGGCCTCCCAAAGTGCTGGGATTACAAGCTTGAGCCACCGTGCCTGGTTTAAAGAATGGTTTCTTGAACATCTTTCTTCCCACTCTTGTTCCAACCTTCTGCCCCATGGTTCTGCCAATCCTAGCCCTCCATCATAGCCAACCTTGTGAACACTGAATGGGAGAGGGGTAACATACTTATCTAAACTCCATGGGTAGGACAGAGTAGTGTGAATTACAAGGCTTGATGGAAGATCTTGAAGGCGCTAGCCATTCTGAATTTCAGCTATTTACAGTTTGAGCCGCTTCCTCCATGAACTTTCTGTAGTAAAGGGCTATAATTATTTATTGATACTGATTGTTCTATTAAGCCACATTGGCCAGGCCAGGTACTGGTAGATAATGTGGTGTTCTAGGAACGTCTCGTTGGTCACCTGTCTTCCTTTCTGGATTCTGAATCATTTGAGAAATAGATCCAGGGTTCAATGAGGATCGACCATGAACTTTGTTACTGGTGAAAGCTGGACTGTAACTTTAATATTGATGAGAAACTCATGCCCTGGAATGTGCTTGTTGCATGAGTGGACCTGCAGAGCAGATCTTCCCCTACCAGCAGAGGAGGCCCTGTAAGCTTGGCTCTTCTCAACCAGCAGGCATTGGCAACTGTTCGTGGCTGTCTCAGCTCCTTGATTCTTCTCATCTGGCTCTCCAATGCTTCTCTGTTGATGGTTGCATAGTCTCCAGTAGGATTTCTGAGTTCCAGATAGCAGGTTTTAGGGGAGAGTGTTGGTACTGTTCTGGTCATAAAATAGAGGGTAACTTACAGGGTTGAATTTTTATTCAGTTGAAAATTCCTAGGACTGCGTCTGACAATTTGGATTTTTTAAATAGCTAGATTATTGTACATGCAAGAGACTCAGGGCTCATGATTAGTTAATGAGCTAGTCGGTGAAGCCAAACTGATGGTGTCCTTCTTGGTGTCACAGATCCAGTTTGTTTATTTCTCTCCATTTTACAGGTTGAATATAAACTGGGATTCCAAGTAGACAATTTTGTAGCCATGGACATGCCCCAGGTCAACATTTCTGTTCAGGGGGAGGTTCCACGCACTTTATCAGGTAAGTAAGAGTCTTGAAAGACTGTTAACACACTGTTTTTAACTGTGTCCCCTACATCCCAACCAGAACAGTTCCAACTTCTGATGCGTAACGTGTCTTACTTGATAGGCGTAAGAGGTATAAGTACTTCGAAAAGTAATCTTTGTAAATGTCGATTATTTGTACCATGGTCTTAAACCATTCTCTTTTCCATCCCCCCGGAACTGTCTGTGCTCAGCTCTTCCTCTTCTACATTGCTGGCAGTGGCCTCCACAGGCGTCTCTGTGCCTGTTCTTGTTCCTTTTCCATTAAGTTCCTCCCACTCTTTGGCCCAGATGATCCTTGCCCATGTGTATCTGACCACATGACATCAAGTCCACAGAGCCCCACTCCCACCAGCAGAATGTTCTGTCTCCCCAGCGTGTGCATCCTTCGCTGCCTGCCTGCCTGCCCGGCCTGCAGCTGTGCTTGCCTGGTGCTCCACAGTCCCTGCCGACATCCGTCTGCTAGCCGGGCCTTTGCATTCACTGCTCTCCTGTGTGGGCCTGCTTTTTCCCCTTTCCTGCTTGTGAGTTCTTTTCTGTTCATCCTTCTCGTTCTGCAAGACTCGTAATCGCCCTTTTCCTGCCTCCTCTTCTTCCTCCGGTTGTTGCCGCCTTTTGTTCTTCCTACCCCTTGAGCCTTGCGTCTAGCTGGTTTGGTACTGATGACATTCTCTCACAATTCCCTGAGTGTTTATCTTAGGAGCTGTCTGAGTAAATGAACTGAGTGTCTTACATCAGTTTAACTGCTTTTGAGCTAACTTTTTCGAAAGACTCTTCAGGATGTGAGATTTTAAGAAAATGGAAATTTTAAAAAATTAAAAGTAAAAGCCACAGCAGTGGAACTTTTTCTGTCAGTTTTGTCACAGTCATTAGTGACATGCATTAATATAAGCTTTAAGAAAGCATAGGAAGGCTGGTTAATATTTATGGGTCAGTAAAGAAATTCAGGAATGCCCGTATCTTCTATGTACTCATGCAGACAGTAGAATGATATAGTCTAAATTTATAGAAAAAGAATCTTAAACTGAAAAGTTGAGTAAAAAATGATATGCAGAAAAGTCTGTTATCCCATTACTACAGTTAGGGATTACGTTTTATTTAGAAATGTCATTCATAATCAGCTTATGAGATTTGTTTACAGGTTTGTACTCACTCTTTTCATTAGGAGCAGTGCATAATTTGTATTTTGGTAGTGAGTTGTCTTTCCTTTTTAGCCTATAATTTCTGCTGTTACTATTGCTGATGTGTCTGATAATGTCAGCAGGGTTTGCTTTATGATCCTGTTGCTTTAATGTATTGGAAGAGCAGGACTTATGAGACCGAGTGTTAAAAATCATGAGCCAAAGTTGAGCTATAATTATTTCTTCATTTATGCCTTGGTCTGTTCCTTAATGTTAACTTTTGTATCCTTGATGAATGAAATGCTTAATGTCTGGAGCTGTGGCAGTCTGACGATAAGATTTCTAAAAGCTTTTGTTTAGTTAATTTACTTAAATGCATTATTTTTAGTTTTACTGCAGCAAAAATGAATCATATAGATAAAAAATGTTTAATACAATTCATATGTGGCTTTAATGTTGGTGTTCAGAAACTAAAATGTTTAAAAAACCTTTTGTTAAACAGTGTTTCGGGTCGAGCTTTCCTGTACTGGCAAAGTAGATTCTGAAGTTATGATACTAATGCAGCTCAACTTGACAGTAAATTCTTCCAAAAATTTTACAGTCTTAAATTTTAAACGAAGGAAAATGTGCTACAAAAGTAAGTAATTTGTTTACCAAAATGTGTTTTATGTAGATATGAGCAAGTCAAAAGTACATCTTGTCGTCTTTTCGCAACTTAATTGTGACCACGCTTTGACATGGTTGCAAACGGGAACGAACACGAACAGGCGAAATGTCACGGCCACCCCAGATAGTTGCAGCTCAGACTCTCGCTCAGACCTCACTCAGCCCTGCTTGATCAAACCCTTTCTTTCTGAATTGCTAGGGTATTTGCCATTAGGAGTGTGCAGTAGTATAAGGAGGTCAGTACATCCGACCAATCTGCTAAGGGTTCCTGAGTAACTAACTGGGTGTTGACTGTGGTCCCTTATAAAGTTATCTTTACGTAGAGGTGTTGCTCTGGGATCAGCTAGACCTGGGAGAGAGTGCTCTTTTCAAGGGTGTTAGGACAAGTTGCTTAACCTTTCTCTAAGGCTCAGTATTTTTCATCTGTAGAATGAGCATAATACCAGTTTCAGAGGGTTTTGTTGTTATTTTTTAAGATTAAATCCAGCCTGAAACTTAGAATATCGTATGTGGGTACTTAATAAATGTTAGTAGTTTTGGGGTTTGAATTAATATTATCTGTTGCTTATGAAATGACAGTGGATGTGAAATAGTTCAGTGCACTAGGTCATAGATCAAAGAATTTTGGAGTTCTTCATAAGTTATCTAGTCCAACCCACTTACTTTAAGTTTCACAGAGAAAAGGTGACCTGAATTTACAAAGTCATAGAGGTAGAAATGGTTAGTATCTACAGTGGGGGGTGGGAGGACGGGAATCCCTTAAAAAAGAAAAAACCTAAACTTACCGAGTTGTTTACAAGTGTTATAAGTGCTTTACATAGTTAAACCCATTTAATCCTTTCACCAACCCTAAACAGTAGGTTCTCTTTCAGAAGAGAAAGCTGAGCTTCAGCGACTCTAATTTGCTAGGGTCAGGCACCTACTGGTACACCTGGATGCAGGCCTGTGTTCTTTGTTAAACTGTCTCTTCATCCATTTCCTAATGAAAATTAGTACTGAGTGTTATGAAAACACCTGAGGCCAGCAAGTGAGTTACAATGGCTAATGTCCAGGTATACTGCATTAGAATAGACATTTTAAGAGTGAAAGGTTATCTTTTAGCTTTAGTATTTTGATACAATTTTCAGTTCTAGTATCCTCAGTTATGTACTTACTTTCATGTAATTTTAAAGACAAAGGAAACTTGAGAAACTGTAGTCCAGCCTAGTCATTGTATAATTGATACAAGGAGACTGACTCTAGAGAGGCCACCTAGGCTTGCATAGCCAGCCAGTGAGGAGGGTAGAACACCCAGTTCCTGATCCCCAGGCAGGCAGGGCAGTGACCGTACCATGGTGTTTCATCTGTTATTCTTAAAGATAGAATAGTGACCAAACATTGTGTGACCCGTGGCTCCCACCTGTGCATCCCAGTTGATGATCAACGGATACTCAAAATGATCCCATACCTTCTCTGATTTTTAAAATATGTATGTGAAAATTAACATTCAAGTTCTGTATTGGAGTAATTTTCTATCCTGTTTGAGACTTAATATAATACCACCCATATTTTTGGCTACCCTGGTCATTTCATGTTTATGACTCTTACTTTATTATGGGATCCCAGTGTCTTTATTTGTCTGGTTTTCCAGCCTATTACACTTAAAAAAACTGTCTGTAGCAGAAAACATATCTGTATTTATGAAATGTTAGTAGGCGTACTGGCAAGAAACATTTATGATAAGAGGGTGGGGATTATGGATTAGACACGTTTTGTTACCTAGAACTTCTTTAACTCTGCATTCTGCTCATGTGCACTGTGAACCTCCAAAGAGACAATGTAGTGTAAGGCTTTTCTCAGACTTTTGACCACAGGAGCCCCTTTTCAATGAGTGTCTGTCTATAGGTAGCACCCTTTGGCTAGCGATGGCAAATAATTGAGACTAATGATTGAGGATTGTAGTGACCGTGATCAGAATAGTAAAGCAGCTTTCATTATTTTGTGAGAGATTCCTGTTAATTAGTTCAGGTAGTGTTTTGATAGCACACAAAACTATGCTAGAGAAAATTCAGAAAATGTAATCGTAGTTTTTGAGGATTTTCATGGAAAAGAAAGAATTTCTGAAATATCTTTTGTCTCCTTCTTAATTCAGAACTTGAAGAAGTAAAAACTTCAGCCTTGGACAAAAACACGAGCAGAACTATTTGTAAGTGTCACTGTATTATTTTTCTCCATTATTAGAGATGAGAAATGGTTGTGCATATGGATGTGACTGCATGAAGCTTGTAGGCTTTGTGGCACCATGCTATTTATTTTGGTGGTGTTTGTAGATTGGTAGATAGGTCAAATGAATCTATTAGGATATTGAATATTTTGAGAACTAAAATTTATACATATTTTGTAACAAGTTAGCTAAAAAGCTTTCATAAGCAAGACATATTCTTTTGAGCAGTCATAATTAAGATATGCACATGAAATATATGTAAGCTATTTAACTACTAGTAGAAGGTTAAAAAATCTGACATGTGGACTGGACTTTAATCTAGCTAATTTCATCCAGGTGGAAGCTTAAAGATACGTTATTGAAGCCTACAGGGTAGATATGCAAAGGTTTTTATGTTTTGGCATTAGTGTGTTTAGATAATGTTACAGGGTTTTTTTTTTCCTTTTTTTTTTTGGTAGTGGCAAGGTCTCGCTGTGTTGCCCACACTGATCTCAAACTCCGAGGCTTAAGTTAGCTTTCTGCCTCAGCCTCCCAAAGGGCTGAAATTGCAAGTGTGAGCTTCTACGTTCAGTCCCCTCCCCCTTTTTTTCCTGACATGGATACATCCTTGAGTGGTGCTCTTCCTGAGATAGTGTAATAGTATCTCAAAAGGGTACTAGATGCTTTCATGGGACTATACCCGCCTGGGCAGCGGGACCTCATCTCTACAGTAAATCAAAAAATCAGCCGGGCATGGTAGCGCCTGCCTGTCTTCCGGCTACTCGGAAGGCGGAGGCGGAAGGATCGCCGGAGCCCAGCAGGTCGAGGCTGTGATGGCCGGGAGTGGCCACTGCACTCCAGTCTGGGCGACAGAGTGAGACTCCAACTCAAAAAAACAAACAAACAAAAAATTTAAGAAGAAAACTGTGAGTATACAAAAGTTTATAGTATGCTTTGATAAATCCCTGTGAGCCCACCACTCAACTTCAGTAATGATCAGCATCTAGCCAATGTTTTTCCATTGATCCTTTCTCCTTGAGCAGGTGGTGAGGGGTGCGGTAAGGTATTTTCAGGCACATCCCAGGCATTGTAGTCTTTTACCTGTAAATATTTCAGTGTGAACCTCTTTTAAGAGGGCCTTTAAAGAAATCACGCAATATTTACTGTGATTTATCATCTTTAACAAAATTAGCGGTAATCCTTAATATCTCTAATAACTAGTCAAGTTTACCTGATTGTCTCAAAAATGTATTTTTATGGTTTCTTTCCCTGGATCTGGATCCAGTAGCCTACACAACTATTTGTTTGATACATTTTGTATTAATCAGAAACCAACCCACACTTTTATTAATACTATTTATTTATTGAAGAAATTATATCATTTGTCCTATAGTATTTCCCACATTCTGCATTCTCCTGGTGTCATTGAACATGTTTTTTCTCTTTGAAGTAAATTGATAGTTAGATTTTGTACTTAATTAGATTCAGGATAAGCTATTTTGGCTAGAATAGTTCATAGGTGATACTGTGTGCTTCCTGTTTCACCTTTTTGTCACCTTGGGAGACACAGAGTATCTGGATGACCCAAAGTAGACCTTTTTCAAAGATAAAATGATCTGAGATATTGTCTACTTGCTAGAACATAGGTATTTATGTCAAAGAAGGAAGAAAAAATATTTTTGAAAATGTCACTGTCCCCAAAGTTTACTTTTAAAATTTTGGTGATTTTATCCTTTTTTTTATGCTAGCAAGATGTTATTTCTCAAAAGAACAGTATTGCATATTCTTTTCTTTTCTTTTTTTTTTTTTTTTTTG